GTCCTTCATAGATATGTGCCGTGTCCTAACCTTTAATTTACAGACATAATTCCATATATGATCATGCTTTGATTTATCCATGATTTTGCTTGGGTTTATATGCAACTGAAAAAGCAGTGAGCCATGAGAAGTCAACTTTAGTTGATAAGTGGCATTTATTGGTCCTCGAACAATGTGAGGAGCTGGTGGTGAAAGAGGTCCACAGATTTTAAAACTCGGGCTGTGAAGTGTTTGCCGGGGCAGAGTTGATTGAGGGAATATGTCAAAGTGAGTTAGCCTCTTAAATATTAAATGGGCTAAATGACAAGTGGATTTCAATGTATTTGACCTCAAGTTTGTTTTTTTYCCTTTGCCCTAAACCTAGAGGTAGCATGGGTGTGTTTTACAAGACTGGATCAATGAGCAGGACATCGACACAATTCATTGATGGTCGAACAATGTGCCATCTCATTGCTCCTGTTACTGGAAATGCCACCCAGTGTCTTTGCACAAACCCTATTTTAAATGACATACATAGATAGATAAATAGATAGATGACTTTATTAATCCCCCATGGGGGAAATTAAGTTGTCATAGCAGCAGATACACTAATGGCATAATAGAAAGACATATTAGAAAAATAAAAACATTACTTTATTTCTCAGAGGGCACTCCTTATTACAGCGGGGGTGAATGAGCCGGTTGCTGAAGCTGCTCTTTAGATTGTCCAGTGTCTTATGGAGGGGGTGGGAAGCATCGTCCATGATTGACAGCAGTTTTGCCAGCATTCTGTCCTTGGCCACCTCCTCCAGGGTGACCAGCTGAACGCCTTTGGAATCAGTTTGTTCAGTCTGTTGGCGTCCTTTGCTTTTATGCCTGCGCCCCAGCACACCACAGCAAAGAAGATAGTGCTCGCAACAACAGACTGATAGAACATCTGGAGCATCCTGTTGCACACATGACAGTATTTTTAAACTTACCACTATATGGATTACTCTGTATGTTTTACTATAGATGTACATATGTAATTTGGTTTCACAGAATAAATTGACTCACTGAAGATACGTAACAACATTTTTTGGATTAATGAGTCATTACTCTGTAAAAATGTGACATTTGCTTCTTGCTCATGAGGATCTTGTACCCGCCATGCGTCCGATGGCTCCAGATGTTTTAATGACGTCTCCGACCTGCATGTTCTCTGTAGCCACGATCCATCTCTTACGGTTGCCTCCGGCGACCATTGCAATGTCAGCAGACCTGTACAGACATCACAGATCGTGAGAAACAATTCTGTGTTCTTGATCTTTACGACAAGTGTACGTGACAGAAGCTGATCTCACCTGCACGGGTCGTACCGCACCTCCACAACCTTCTCCTCGAATGACTGAGCCTCTTTGCCCGGTTCAAAGCCAAGTCGCCGGAAATCAGATTTGGAGCAGGTTAGGGGTTCAGCATGAGTTACCATGGTGATTTACCCCCAGTATGTGAACCTGCACCATAGGACTGAACAGTCTGAGTTAAACCTGAAGATACTTCCCTCACCACAAACTCAGCTTCATGTACAACACACAACCACCCGTCGCTCCTCTTTACCTGTGTGATCTCGGCCT